CAGAGGTTGGATAAGACATTCCAAAAGATTCTTTCCACACTGTATTACATAGGGAAGATATCCGTTGTGATGTGGATGAGAATCTGTGGCCCGGCAGACGGAAACATCGGGAGGTGTAGAAACACTGTAATTGTCCATACGGCGCTGCATGTACAGGTCTGCCTCAGCTCTGTTGCCAATGATTACATGTGAGCTATGCAATGCTGTAAAACACTCAGGTTATGTCAGGACACAAAAAGTCTGACAAAACAAGGTAGAAAATGTAATGCACAGATTACACCAGCTGTTGAGCAAACAACGATGTTTAGGGGGTAAGACTATTCAACAAAGAACCGGCATCTTACATTTTAGTCTACATGACACTTAACAATTTACAATGGGGAATTTGTAAATGATAGTCAGATTGAGGGGCTGCAAGGTGGATCAGTGGTTAGCACTGTTGCCTCGCAGCTAGAAGGTTGCCGGTTCGCATCCTGGTGAGGACACTCGGGATCTCTGTGTGGAGTTTGCATGTTCTCCCTGTGCAGCGTGGGTTCTCTTCGGGTTCTCCGGCTTCCTCCCACACAGTCCAAAAACATGTCCGTAGGTATGAATGTGAGTGTGCTTGGTTGTCTGTCTCTAAGTGTAGCCCTGTGATAGACTGGTGATCTGTCCAGGGTGTCCCCTGCCTTCACCCTAAGTTCAGCTGGGATAGACTCCAGCCCCCCTGCGACCCCAGTGAGAATTAAGCGGTGTATAGATAATGGATGGATAGTTAGATAGATAAAAAAAAATCCAAAGTATTGAACTGATTAATATCCTTCAGTATAAGTTAATTAGCTTGCATTTCATACCATAAAAGCCTCCAGTAGCTCCTCACACTCTCATCGAAGGTGTGAAATTGCACAGTCACACACAGGCAGACGGAAATAAACCATATGACAGATAGGTTTCATACTTGTGTATATTTTCACAAGTTCTCTTACACACACACACACACACACACACACACACAAAGTGGAAGTTTCTAGAACAAAAAAAAAACGTTCCCTCAGGCGCACACGCCCCTACTTCCCTGCACTGACACAACAAAGCAAAAGAAAGCGTGTCTCACTGCCAAAGATGGGTGTAGCCAAGTTCTCGACACGGGAGACGGTGGAGGGCAGGCCCGCCACAATGCACACAATCCCATCAAAAAAGGTGGAGTGGGGGGCCACAGCCAGGATGGGGGCCTCGCTGCTGCCGACCTGCTTCCCCTTGACCACCACTCTGAAGCCCATGCAGAAGTAATAAGCCCTTCCCAAGGCAGCCATCACCCTCTGACACATAAATCTGCAGATGACAAGAAATGCTTTGGATTACTGAGCGTTAGTAAATTATGAGAAATGGAATGAAGAAAAGTGCGTGTTTATCTTGTGCTCTCTTACACTATCCTAAGATAGAAACCAAGACAGAAAGTCTTAAACTTCTTTCCAGATGTATAAATTTGGCTGATAAACTATTTTAGATAAGTTTACAGCATGATTCTTAGACCTTTTTTTTTTAAACTTATGGACTGAGAGGAAAGAATTTCAGCAACAGGAAGAGTTGCACCATTCCTGTAAACCCCCAAATTGCAAAGAAAGTTACCTTCACCACTTACTTCCTCAGAATCTAGAGAAAGGGGAGGATGTCTTAATACGACCTGAAACCCTGTGACAAAACGATGAATGAAAACTCTTCAAACTTAAGAGTACAAATCTAAGAATATTTATAGCTGCATTAATCCTCCTGACGCAATGCATTGAAGAGTAAGAAGCTTAAATTACCAATCAGGTTAATATGGCTAAGATATGGCCCCCTTCATTTTACAGGTGGCACAGAGCAACATGAACTGAGACCATTTACAGGTTTTGAGGCCAAAGTTCCTTTGCCTTTGTGATAATTGCGCAAGGTGTGGAGCATACCATCCAGCATGTGAGCTGAGAGTGGCTTCATACTCTCTTTTTTTTAAAACAAAAAACAATCATGCATTGGTCTGCGTGGTTACGTGTTGATTCAAAATGAGTTTCACATCATCTCATAGCAAACCTAGATTTTAAAGATATCCTCAACCCACACTGAGTATATCTATAAACAGGATATAGATATTGTAACCCAACAAGATAAGCTTTCCTCTCAGTCACTCACCATGTTTGGTCATAATCATTAAGAAAACTGAGCTCTAAGTTCACAAGAGCTGAGTGCATTACAGCAACATGACGCAGCTACATGCAAAGTGGAATGTGTTTTTAAATGCTGCAGGCTGTTGAGGTAAAATACGACACTGCAAGCACTTCTATGGATTATTCTGTAGACCTTAAATGATATTTACATGCTGTAATCACACTAATATAGTCAAACTGATGACACAATTAAATAATTACATAGACTATGATTACTAAAAGTACTGTCTAGTGCTATTGTTGGGATTACTGTTGAAAAGTTAGTTCTAAATGTACATAGATCACTTTTTCAGTTCCTCTCAAGCCCTGAGTAATACCACCATTTCCTTTCTGAGAACAGTGGGGAACTGAGATGAAGTAATGCTTGTGAGGCAGATATGATCTCAAAAGCATGATTCGGCAGAACAGCATGCAGCTGCACATTCTTCAAGTCATGTCAGGCGTTATTATTTTTGAAAATGCGCTGCCTTTAGCTCTGTGTTCTCGTCCAATTTAGAGAGCCTGGAAGCACACTTATTCTCCTGCTTTACTGCTTTAGCAAAACGCACCATTTTGATAGATATAATACATGTTTTAAAGTACATTTCAATGTAGTCTTTCATCAATAGCTGCATTGAGATGCACGGAATAGATGGGCAGCTAACTTCCTTGTTGTCAGTTAAGAGATAAGACTTTAAAATAACGGCCAGTGTTTGCAAATGCTTTGCAAATCCAACATGTTTGCATTGGCCTGCAGCAGCAGCAGCAAAAAAAAATCAATAGGAAGGTGGGCTTGTGATGCACCTGGTTAATAATACAGTCGGCCAAACTCACTAACATTAACTGAATGTGCATGTAAACAAATCTGATGCCAAACAGGTCGCATAATGTGTGCTTAGTAATAACTGAGTTGTTGTTATTTAGTTTATTTTTTTTAATAGTGCCAAAGGGAGTGCGATATCCAGAAGGCCACGGCCTCTGCTGGCAGCCTGTGATGGTGCCCATGAGGCTTGGCCACCTCTGTGGGAGGCTGTGTGTTAGTATCCATAGTTACCGTCTCCAGCCTGTCATTGGCTCCACGGCTCCTTTCAGAGGATGCCTGAAGGTTATAATGACGGACACTGGCCATGTCACCATCAGAACCAGGGACACGAGGATGGCGCGAACAGGAAGCAGGAAGATTCCCAGCAGGACGCACTGCAGGGAGAAAGAGAGGAGGGTATGCACCCATCAGACGGTGCAGGCCTGAGACCACACACACACACACACACACACACACCACAGTGACCAACACCCCGACGTTCCAAAGCGCACAAATATGCACAAGTCTAACAATCCACATCGGCTCTCTAGAAAACACACAACGGCTCTCATTGTTTGTGCTGCACATAACGAGCCTTTACAAGCCGATTGTCACAGCCTCAGTGGAGCAGATTATAGGCCCTGCTTGGTTACACAGCAGCCTGCGTGAGTGTGTGTGTGTGAGAGAGAGAGTGTGTGTGTAATCTCACACTGTGCGCGCCGCGTTGCCAAAAGCGATGACTATTCTTCAAAAGCCTGCCTGTTTTCTGTTTTTTTTAAGCATCCTACTCAGCTGAAACGCCATACTCACTTTAATAATAGCAGCTTTGGTTAGTTTGGTGTCTTGAACAAACGGGTTGATGACCGCTGGCAGCAGCAGGGACTGCTGCCTCGGCAGGGCGAACACTCGCTGCGGCGGCATGGCAGTCCGGTCAGCGCAGGAAATCAGGCGAATGTTGCGGCCGAGGCGCCTTTAGGTTATCATCTCACTTCCTGACATTAAAAAAAAGGCCCTGCTCTGGTTTCTTCACCCCCCCGTAGAGGACGATGTTGACACGGCGAAGCGCAGCCGCACGGACCTGGCGGAGCTGAGCCGGACTGGCGTCAGGCTCCGCCTCCAGCAGCGGCGCTCCAGTCCCATCAGTGGGGCTTCAAACACTGTGTTTACAATCTGCATGAACCCTTGATGTTATTATACATATAAAAAGAATAAGTATCTCATACACTCGAGAGGAAAAATACATTTTAAAAAAGTGAGGTGAGATGAGAGAAAAAATGAAATGATGATGCGCGTGCTTTGCCAGAATACAGCTGGTTAGGAAACATGGGTTAAACCTGAGAATGTCAAAGATGATAGTAGTGATGCACAACTAGTGAATGAGGACTGATTTAAACGGAATATCAGGTATTAATAGATATTATAAAGTCTCATAAATGTCCACAAGATGGCGCAGTTTCATAACATATTTTTTATTTTCTTCTGTCCTAAAAACAAAGTTCTCTGGAGAGAATATTTCACAGGGTGAGAAGTTAAGTGTATACTCTTTTTTCAAGTAGGGTTCAGTTTTTTAGATTTAAATGTTTGTTGTTTTTTACTGTTAGCAGCCTCATACTGCTGCTTTATTCCGTTTTAGGGGGAAGTACATTTCGACTCAACCACGTTTATCTTAAGCCTGTAGTCGCTTTGCAGATTCAGATTTTCCAGAGGAAACCGCAGCTGGAAAGTGAACTGCCCAGAAATATGTTTGCTCCTACTTGGCCAGCTGCAGCTTTGAAATTCAGTTTTAAAGATGTGTCAGTGTTAATAACCAAATATGCATATTAATGATAGATTATACGGCCTTTCTAACAGCATTGTATTTTGTGATTAAGAACTTTTGGTGGCAAGGATATTTTGCATTTAAATATTCATACATTGTGAATGATTTGAACACTTCTTCCAGCACTATTATTTAGTATTTTTGTTGATGAATTTACCAGCGAGGCCTCATAACTCTGTCAGTCCTTCACATTTGCTTCAGCACAGCACATGGACTTCATTATATTGACCATCTTTATTGATGACAGTAACAAAGTGCACAAGCATTAAAAACAACACAAGACACAATGACTATATTGTTAAAACCCAAGAAAGAAAAATTAATACATATAAAAAAAAAAAGATATTTAAACAATACTACTGCGGTACTCTTGTCATGATTCCATCATGCAGCAAACCTATACAGCCTCTGGAGGCAACCTGTGCCGTTAATCTTTCTGTACCATTAGTGAAGGGAAATGCAACATGGAGTTGCCATGGAAATAATTTGGTCTCCATATTGTGCAGGTCCCTCTTATAGTCCTATACAAAGTGCTAATCAAATGAAGAATAATGTGTGCCTGCGATACTACTTTCTGAAATCCAAAGGATACTAAGTAGTCCCATCAGACATAGTTACACAGAATATAAAAAAATACAGATATAGGACTATATGCAAAAAAAAAAAAAAAAAAAAAAAAGCAATCTCTAAAAGCACCATTTTCGGTCACATTGTGCAAATTCATTTTTTCAAATGTATTGCACAACAATCAGAAAATTAATTAAAACTGATACATTTATAAAACCGCACTTAGTACAATGGATATAGAAGTCATTCTAAGCCAACATGAATTCCTCATATGGTATAAAACAGCCCTTCAGAATCAAATTTGCATAAAACGGCAATATCTCACAGCACAGTATAGCACTGAGTTCAATGCAGTGTGGACATACCTGATGTCTGACTTTTAAAAAAGATGAACAAAAGAAACTATAAAACAATAAAACAGGGGCTACATATTATAAGAAATCTTGCATCAGCATATAAAAAGTCAAAATCACACAGAAATATAGCAAATATCCAGTTGTGTATGTTCAGCCTGCGTAGAAGTTCCTGCAAAGCTGGAGACCGGTTATACAGGCTGGAGGGACGTGAGTCCCACAGAAGCGTGCAGAGATGCCAGGATAAAAACTTTCAACAGTGTGCACTGCGGCGACCTCAAGTTGTGTGCGATACTACGACGATGTCCTCACAGGGCGAGGCCATGGTTACAGGAATTAGCCAGTTGCGAGACATTTTGGGAAACGCTCAACAACCCAGCCAGTCTTTTGTGATTTCACCCAACTTGACAATCTTCAAGCTGCTGTCTTCTAGTTTGAAATAGTGGTTGCCTTTGAAGAAGTAACTGTAATCTGTTGGAGACAAGGACAATATACACTGGGTTTAAAACGTTTACTGAGCATTCGAAATTGCTGGTGTTAGACAGGAGACACCACCAGGCAACAACAGTAAAACAATTTAAACTTCTGTAAAATCAGAAAAAACAAACAGCATAATCAGTTTCAATCAAGATGACAAGGATTAAAACATCCAATCAGGCTGTACTGAAGCCAAAGTCGAGCCTCACTCTCTCTGAATTATGCTGATCAGGAAGCTTACAGAGGCACCTTTGTAGAGGGTCACAGACTTGCTTTACATAAATATGTTTGTTCACCGTGTGGTTCGGGAGCTATGTGATGCTTACAGTGCTGTGTGTATGTTGGTGGAGCAGTAATGGAAAAGTCCCTGGTTGCCTGCAAAAAACCTGCATAACCACCTCCAACCTCAAGGCTGACAGCGACAGTCTCAGAAGAAGTTTGCTCGTTGTATCACGCTGAAAATTCACATCCATCCACTTTCTCGTACGGTGTAGCTGCAAAGCCCTTCCTCCCCTCCCCCACGCAGGAGAAGTGAACATAAACTAATATGTGTTATTCACTCACAGCAAATGGAATCATCGAGTGAGCAACATAAAACGACCGCCCTCCCACCGACGACTGTGTTCTATCATCACCAGACCACAGATCACTCCCTAACTTCAGAACTGCTCCCTTTACTCTGTTTACTCGGCCTGCATTCTTTGTACAGTCAGCTCCATTTTTGGGCTACAAAGCGCCAGTGCTGGCTGGGTACTGGTACATGAAGAGTTTTACTGACAGAGGCTTGGTGCCAGACTCACTGATAGAGCTTTTCCTGCAATCTTACTAAAAGGAATGCTAGTCTGCAGACAGTAAACTAGCACACATAAAACAGCAGCGCTACAATCGAAGCACAAAACCCACCACAAAAAAAAAAACTTAAAGCTCCTCTGTAGGATTCAAGCAAAGAGTTTGGGCCTCGGATGCTTTTTGCTATTTTGTCTACATTCTAAGTGATCACTGCCGGTTTATTTCTGCATAATTTAAACAGCCATCTGGGACTGATTCGGCGAACGGTATAGCAACTATTTTATGTCGTCAAAGGCTGGTTTATATATGAATTGTGAATATAATCACATGTGGTCAGTGGTTAATGTCTAGCCACACTGGAGACATAGAGATGGTGGTGTCCATGAGTTCACAGTTTGGTCCAATTATCGGATGGATATTTGTCAATTCTGATGCAGACATTCATGGTTGTTTTTATGAAAACTTTCATGTGACCTCTCCAGCGTCAGGATATTTGTGTTTTGTAGTGAAAACATTTGTAAGAAATTTAGTAGATTCAGGCATTCATGTGATCCTCGGCCTCATTTGTGCTTTTAACACTAACTAGCAACTCATAGCTTTCTTTGCAGATGTATTGTGTTGGGCTCTAAGCAGTGTTGTGCCTGAGTGAGTCACCGGTGTGGCTGCAGACTAACAGCCTTGTTATACTGTAACGACTTGGCTTGAAACCAGTGCTGCTTGGAGGATATCGTGGAAAATACAGTCGAAATGTATGAAGTTTTTTTTTCGTAAGATGGTTCCCAGTAATGCCAAGTATGTATAAATTGTTGCGAAAGTCTACCATTTAAAAAAAAAAAAACGTCATTTTGGTGCTCACATTTTCATGAATCCACAACTATTCCCAGCCTCTGGTCAAATTTCCCTTTTAAAATCACACAACACCTCTTAAAACACAATTTATGCAGAAAGAAAGATGCTTTACCGATGCCATTAAGACTAAAGGCAGAGTCGATGCCATCTGGGATACCGTTCCATGAGTCAGCGATAAGTTTGGGGAAACCAGGGTCCATCTTCTTCTTATCTTCATCATATCTGTTCACACAAAACAATGAAAGTGAATCCTTCAAGAAGTGAAGAGTTCTCACATAAAAGCACACACACACATACTTTTTTTTTTCCCCCAGGAGATGAAACAGTGAGTCACTATGAATTCCCATGTTGTGCAAGGATTAACAGGGCTGTTGTGCTTTACAGTTTAGGTCACACCAAACACTAACTCAATCCAGATGCAGCACAGTACTGCAAAAAAAAGTGACATCAACAGCACAAGATAATGTTTTGTTGGCTGGTTGCATAAGCTTTGCTCCTTCTTACCTCCAGAATTTGTCCCCAGAGAACAGGTAAGTCTTCCTGTTCTTCCTAAAGTTGAAGGCAGCATCGATTTGCTCCAGGTCAGTGGGGAGGTCAAGGCTGGAGAGCCTCTTGGGATAACCTTTCTCCAACTCATCAGCTTTGTAAATCCACATCTCATTGCCTGCGAGAGAGAAGTGTTTTAAAAAAAAAAAAAGAAGTAGAACCAGGGCTAAAATAACATTGGAGACATGTGTTATACTAATGGACGCTAACTATTTTAGCACAGGACTTCCAAATCAAACTTTTTCCTTTATTCCTGCAAATCTATCAACCAAATACGGTGAGATCATCCCCAAGCCACCTTAATGTCTTTAAAGCAGACAAATATATTATGTAAATCTCATCAGCATTCAGGAAAGTTCTCATATTAGTAAAATGCTAAGAATGTATCATAAACCACTAATAACTATGGTGGAATATCTCAAGTGTCCCAAGAGTGCACACCGCACGCAAGAGTGTTCAGCCAACATTCCTGCTTTCTCCTAATGTTTCAGGTCAGAGAAACGGCTGACCATTAGCGGAAAGGCATCCGAGTGGTGAAGCAGTGAAGACACCTCTTTATTACTCGTTGGAAGCGGATCTTTGTGCTCGTCTGATTACCGCTAAGAAGCACTAAATCAGGACGTTTATTCATAGCTTCTTCAGCATACCTGCGAAGAAGACTGTTTTTTCCTCCAGTGGGTTTTCATAGGCGGCATCTATCTTGGCAGGAAGGTCGGGCCAGTAGGTGGCCACGAGCATGGGGCCGTTGGGCTTGCTTCTGAAGTTGACTGACCTGAACAGGAACCTGGCAGAGAGAGAGGGAGAGAGTGAGTGGGTGAGCGATCGCGAGGTAGATGAGCTGGGGATGAAATAAGAGTGAGAGTGAAAGAGGAACAGAGGGGGTTGATGAGGAGGTGGAGGGAGAGAGTGTGTGTGTGAGACGAGGGGTTTAGTGCAAGTGCTTCGCTGGCCCGAGCCAGCCACAATGGCCTGATTCATGAGCATCTGGTTCTCGTTAGGACTAAAGGCTGCAGACGCCAGCGGAACAAGACCCATCTTGCCCGGATTTCCAATACACAGCTGCACAACAACAGCAGCTTCCCAAACTCTTTTCCACTGACCTATTTTTTAGAGAGAAAAAAAAGATCTGCCAATAGCGAAGATGCGGTGTCATAATGATAAAGTAAAGATGAGAATAAAAACCTTGCTAAGAGCAACCCAGAGCGCGCGTACATAACACACGGGCGGAGTTACAGTTGTCAGGGTGAAAGACAAGACGTATTCCAGCCTGAGCTAACGATAGATGAATTTCATTATTTTTAGAAGTGTTCTTGTGGATTAGTTTGTTAGGTTCATGCATGTACAATGTCCAGAGGGTTTTCAGTCTCTATCAGAGCTTTAATTTGATCCTTTCCTGTCTGTCTTCTCTTCCTGTATATATTCAATAAAAAAGGCACAAACATTATCCGCCTGAGGGCTGGTAAATAGAGCAGACTTACAGGACATAGCAAGAGATTTTTTTTCCCCCCAAGCCCTGGTAATGTTGATTTTTTTTTAGATGCATTTTCATTTTGTTGTCTTTCTTTTAGTTTGAATTTATGATTATTGAGACTCCAAACCTTCATTTGTTGTTGCTGTGTTATAACTGTGTAGTAACACAAATCAATTGTTCTGCACAATGATACAATATTATTGCAGCTCTGACAGAAGTATAAGCTTCCATTATATTGCTCGAATGGATTGTATATCTCACACTATTTTTATGTTAGGAAAATAGTTTGAGTAGTGTCAGGTATTACATTTCCCATAAATGGACAAAATTATGCAAACACACTGTGTTGACTTAAAGCTCCCATCATAAAAAATTCTATATGTGTCTCTTGCCACTCAGTGGAAACCTGTTTGGGTGGCAGGTTTTAGTTTAGTGGCCAACAGGGCTGTTCTAGGTACTCCACTGTATGTCTAGTCTGCTTTAAAGTAATGATACTTTTATGTAAGTGGAGCCCAATTTTCCAGACTCTGGTCAACATTTCTTCTGTAATAACCATTTAGCTATGTTTACATTCAGACTCTGCCTGGTCTTATTCAATGACAGTGGGTCAGCGAGTCCTTTGCTGCATTCAGATTATCTTTCTTATATATCAGAGCCATAAGTAGCTGCTGATGCAAACAGAATACTGCGACTGCTTCATGTGTTCTGAAACTTTAGCACTGACCACTGTGGCCGCTCATCAAAAATGTCTCTTACAAACAAGACAGTGGTTCTCTTGGCATTGTTTTGTAAGTCTCAGCTCCAGATTAACTGTATGACCTGATGAGTGGAAAGTCACTCCCGCTTTGTTTCTCATCACATCAGAATGCAGATGCAGCTATTTTTGATTTCCTTATAAGAACAATTTGATTTTGCCTGGTTGTGTTGCGCCCCTGTTATATCTCTTAGATAGCTGATTGGAATTTTATGGAATACAACTTAAAGGTTCACTCACTGGTTATGTGCTTGGACAACAGCACGTGAGCATATGTTACTTGCACCAGAGCTAATCAGTAGGTTGGCCAAACTGTTCCAATAAGACAGACTTTATAATTGCCTTCTCCTTAAGCCTCCAGACAGACAGACACACTTTTATGCTGAGTTCAGGGAGTGCTCCGAGTGTTACTCACTGCATCGTGTCAAGATTTGTCCGACACCATAAATATGCTGAGCCGGGAGAAAGACAGATTCCTCTTTTACAATGGTGAGCAAGTCAAGTGAGCTTTAGCCGCAGAGCCCAGAGGGCACTGCTCTTTGTGTGAAGCTACGTACCAGAGCTCTGCAGCACACTAACCTGACATGGCCTTTGGGCAACTCATTAAGTCAGATCAACAGGTCCATACTGAAACTTTACTCATCTCAGACTTTGGTGAGAGTCACTGAACCGTACATTCACTTTGATGCCTTGAGAGAACTCTGTCCTCATTTTCTCCCCCTCATCTTCAGATCGCTTCTCAGTCTTTTGATGCTTGGTCAGATTTTCACATAGTGGAATATCATGGCATTGTGTGGAAACACCACACAAAGGACCCAACGAAGCTGCTGCACAAGGCTGAACATATGGACAGTATATAGATGACTTTGACTGTGATTTTTCCCATATTTTAGTCACTGTACACGGCGGACCAATGTGCCTTTCCCCACTGACTGAATACCATTGCTCTGGATTCTGATAGTTTAAACATCTGTGCAAATAGACGCAGCTGCAAATAACCCAAAAAAGGCACAGTCCCATCATTCCAATAAGGAATATAATGACTATCAAGGCTGCTGGTACTCCGCAAGAATTTAGAAGGCATATTTTCTTCTGTATGTCACAGCTAATGATCACAGCACTGACGACGACGATGATGCATACGTTCATCGTTCTGTTTCCATCCGAATCTTCGGCCCGCCAAAGCTTCGAGGAGAATTAAGTTTCAGCTCGGCTTGATTTCCAACAACAGGTCCAAAGTTTCACGGTCCGCAGAGCACTCCGGGAGTTTCTGTGCCGCTCTGCCGATCCCTGCCAATGCGTGGATGAGAGCCACAGCAAGGTGAAAAGCATTTCTGCATTAAAGCGGGATCTGTGCGCAAGACTGTGGCTTGTTTCTCCCCCCAGTTTCTAACTCCAGGTTCTCAGTGAGGAAAACCAAGCGAACTGAAAGACTAGACCTGTTTGTACGGAGGACTGCCTGGACTGTTTGTTTTGGACCGAAATGGCAGATGACAGATATACAGCTGTGTTAACCTTGAAATCACAAAAAGACTCAACGCATGGGCAGAACTAGAACATTTCCTTTCCGACCATACTATTGTGGAAGTTTGCCTGTAACAAACTTCAGCTGCTGTGACGAAAATGTTCGCCTTCCTCCGGGAACGCGCGCTGACTCACAAAGACTGTTGACCGAACCACAGCTTTGAAACTCCTCTTCTACACAAGGTCAGCCAGTAGACACACACTAAGCTTACAAGACTTTGGATTTACTGGCGCCGGTGGAGAAGAGGACGGTAGACTGTGTTTATGAGTGATGACTATTTTGGTTGTCACTGCATGAGTGAAGGCATAGTTTGTTTTCCCCGTCTGACTAATTGTCACATCATGAAACAAGCATTTAAATTGCCATCTTTAGTGGCACAAGACTGAAATATGAGAAACAATAATTAGCAAGAAACCTCATGTCATATTGCTCATTGTTTGTGGTGAAGTGATTATGAAATCCAACTGGTGCTGGCTGCTTCATTTCAGTTACGCAAGATTATGGAGCCAGAAGTAGGCGATTGGGTTTTGTTTGTCGTTCTTCCCATAGATCGCAGACAGGAAGTTCAAGCGGCCTTTAGCAGTGCTTACACAATTCAAGAGAGTCAAACACAGCCTTCGCACCAAATCTATGATAACAGTGCAGCTTGCATATTCAAACAGCCTTGTCAAGACCTCGGATCTTGCGCGGATTACTTCTTGCTCCTTCCTCATTTGGTTATAATCCGGCATATGTACACTCGCTGAAGTCTTACTAAAACACTTTTAGGCCCGCTTGTTTGAAATGATTACCTGTCTTTGAAGAAGAAGGTCTCCCCTCGGATTTGTGCTACAGCATCAAAGACAACTGGCTCTTTGCAGATGTCCATTGGAGTGACGGGACCCTGGGTTGGAGGCAAAGGCTTGTCTGTTGGCACACCTGTTGTAAGATTTACCGCAATGTTTAATCTTTGGGGGAGGAATTGCACAGTTTAAAACTCTTTGCTGTCTTCTAATTAGAATCGTTTTCGAGTAATCGGCCACACATTGCATTTCCTCTTACCGTAGAGCTCCTGGATGCCTTTGATGTCATCATTAGAAAGTCTGAAGTCTTTGGTAAAAGTGTAAATAGGGGCCATAAGTGCTCCAGGGTCCTGAGAGTGCTCCAAACCAAGGGCATGACCAAACTCATGGGCTGCCACCAGGAACAAACTGTACCCTAGAAACAAACCAGATTAAATGACTATGAGTTCTCTTTAAATGCTTCCACAGTAAATAAAGCAATTTTCTTTGGGCAGGCGAAGGTCTAAACTCATCAGACGTGTTTTGTTTTCCTGTAAGAGAACTTGAAGTGAGAGTAAAACAAATGAGTCATTGCATTGTTCTTTGCGGCCACTTTGCTTGGTTGCTATTCCCAGAAGTACGGCAAGAGCTGTCCGCAGACATTATTGGCCTTCATACCTTGATCAGGACAGAAACCCCACTTGCGATCATCATCGTAGCTCTTGGTTGAAGCGCACCACATCTTCCCGTCGCTACGTCCTGAGGAGGTGCAGCTATCGTAGGTGTCTCCCAGAAAGGTGAAGGGGAAGACGCAGGGGCTTCCCTCTGCGTTTCCTCCCACTGTTGACATAGCTGTAGATAGCAACAAAAGACAAAACTGTAAAACTGAAATCTACAGAGAACTTAGTTCACTTCGTTTTCTGATGAACTCATTCATATGCCAAAATGTTTCCCCAGAAAGGTCTGGTTTGTACTGTATCATGAAATGAGTGCAGATGATGATGAAAACAGCATCATGAAAGCAGCTGGCACAACACACACAACATCAATAACTAATCCACTAGGCACTAAACCAAAAAGAACCCGCCCAGATTGATTTTCTTTCAAAGAGAGATCATTTTCAATCTGGCAAGATTGGTTTTGTGCTTTTTTTTTTCTTTTTTCTTAAAATCATTCCTTATTCAGCACAAGGCTTTGCAGCAAAGCTACATTCCTAATCAAATAAAACCAGATGAAAGCTCCAATGGTTGTACCTCTCTCTGTCTATCTCCCTCCATACTACACAACCTCAACCCTAAAACCAGTCCCTCTGACAGAATGGAAAATGAGCCCCACCACTGCACATTAAAATACTTTCAGAGCCATTCAGCCGACCACGAGCAAGACCAAAAAGCCCAGCTAGAGAATTCTTGTCGACCAACACATGGCAGGGCACCATTCCCTGCACATCAAAATAAACAGGGCCAGAAAAGTGCACTGTATCTATTAAGGAACGCACGAACAAAAACTAAATACGGTGCACCAACAGGCACACGTGTGAACATCTGCACGACAGAAAAAGACACCAAGAGTTTCCTTATTAGAATCCTTTGAAGTATGTGGACGTATAAAGGGCATAACAGACTGTAGGTAGTCTGACTCACCAGATGTAGACTGTGGGCATGAGCCTGACATTGGCCACATTTTTCACATGACATTCTCCTCCCCTTCCACTATCTACATGTTTTTGCTAAAGCAGACAACAACAAGAAGTCTCCAGCAGCAACACACCATATGAAAATGGAAAGTTTTGACAATGATTTGAAATGTGCAATAGGGCAGGCCTGCTTGTTTTGTGTTTTTTTTTTCAGTGAATGGTTGTAAAGAGCTCTAAAGAATAAGTTTACAAAATCTTCTGTTTAATGGGAAAAGCTAAATTTTCCAAGCATTTTTCACCACAATAGTTTTTCACCCCCTACACCATTCTGCTGGGACACCACTGCTGCATCCTGGGCTTTGTGCTTCACAGAATGATTGCGATTGGTTTAAAGAAATACAAACAAGCTAGAGCATTTTTTTTGTTTGTTTGTTTGTTGTCCCCTATGGCAGTACTATAATGGGTGTGGCCAGGCTATTCTCCACAGCGCTGACACATGCAAGACTTGATAATAGATGACACCACCTACCGGTTTCAGGGCAGAAGCCATAGGTCTTGTCACGGTCATAGTCCTCAGTAGTGGCGCACCACCGGTAACCATCATCCCTGCCCTGTGTGGTGCATCCATCGTACTTCTCTCCCTGAAAGGTGAAGGGGAATTTACATGGAGCACCCTCTGCATTTCCTCCCAGGGTGAACAGTACTGTAAAACAACAAAAACAGCAGTTTAGAGGATTGAATAACATTATACGTGTTGCATCTGTAACTTTTTAGCTTACAAATAGTAAAGTCCTATATAAGATCCTTTCACTTCTGAGTGACGATGTGAGACAAAGGCTCCCAGAGAGGAAGAGAGAGTAGAATTATAAAAAGAGAGACACAATGGAACATTTTTGCATCATTACAAAAGCCTAACAGAAGAGACAGCTCCAGTGCAAACAGGCCTCACTCGTGTTCCCATCATATAAAACAACTTTGTACATGTGTACTTTGGCAGTTAGTTGAAACGGGCATGCGATCATGTTAGTACCATGGACAGCAACACAACACAGATAAACAAAATGCTTGACAAAGCCCCATGTTCTAAAGTGGGGCAGTAACTTGGAAAAGAAATTAACCATAATCTGCTCCAAACAAAAAAAAAAAAAACAACAGTTTCCTGGCTTACTGTCCAACCTACTTTCTTCATGTCCAAAATCAGCAGAGCAGCTTTCAATATAGCAATAATCTGATATGAAGTATTGTTTTGACAGTATTTGAACACTGGCTCAATTCACCAAACTGCTAAATGCTTTGTCTGGTTCAATTAGATGCAAGTAGGGCATGATACCAGTGCTGCTCAGGTCAAATGGGGGCACACAGCCATAAATCTTTTCCTTTACTGAGACAAAATGTATGAGGAGACATTGCAGTGCCATTTGACTTACACTAAGTGTACGTGTATATATATGATATATGGGAAAAAAATAAGGTGAACAACTGGACAAACTTACATTCATGAGGGCAGAAGCCATATTTGCCATCTTCGTCAAAGTTGTAGGTGGTAGAGCACCACAGGAAGCCGTCGTCGCGGCCCTGAGACGTGCAGCTGTTGTACTCGGTGCCCATGAAGGAGAAGGGGAATTTACAGAACTCTCCATCAGCATTACCAAACTTCACCTTCACCACTGTAAAAGAGTGACAAAGACTCACACTGAGGCCTTTCCATGTGTCCACTCCTTTACTATAAATCTTTGTCATGGTCATCCATTTTCCGAAAGCACACATTTGCACAATTATAATGGTGACATAATGTTTAATATGGTAGCCTAGAAAGCTTATAAATAAAAGCTTAGAATATGCAAAGTAGTCTTTGAAAATAGGTCTGCCAAAAAGTTTAATGTAAAGAACGTATGTAACAGTATGAAAAAAAAAGATATAAAATAAGAAAAAACTTCATCAAAAGATATCTTCATCTGTTCATCTGCTCTGAGACTTCGTTTTTTTGCACCAGGAGACAGTGAAAATAGGTTTAAAAATGATTCCTGCACAAATTATAAATCCAAACAAAAGGATCTGAATAATAGGGAAATACTTGGAGAAAAAACTATCTGGGTCAGTGTGTGCAAATACAAATGTGTGCATGTGTATTTTTCTATTCGGCTTCCAGATGGCTGCGGTTTGTCATATCGAGTGCCAGAAAGTTCAGACAAAGTTAAGCCAACCAAACAAAAGTATTCAAAAATCCTGTTTAGTATTATCAATGTCAGTATCTCACCTGTACTGAAGCTGTTAATTAAATTCACATCATTGTTACTAGAATGGTTGCTTTCATTTGTTTTAACCGAACAAATGTGAAACCCACTTATCTTTAAATAAGTTATATTATATAAACCTTGTATATATATTTGACTGTTGCTGAATAAATCTCAAGCAGTCGAGCTGTTGCAGCACTTGTGTACTGTTTCTCCATTACCTTGGCCCTCTCCCAGTGTCCACTGCTCATCATCGTCAAAATGGGAGTCTCCCCCAATCCCTGGCCCAGGGGCAAAGGCATGAGCCAAGAGGCCATCCTTTCCATCGAAGGGGTAACCGTCTCCGTGCTCTGTTGATGACATCATCCAATATTAGCAAAAAAGCAAATAAATCTCAGAAGCTTTTCTTTGTCAAACAGTCATAATTAGTGTGAAGTTCTTGGATATTCCTGACATGATGAGACGTGTGTGTATTATTGTTCCTAGAGCAACAATCTCACATCTTCTGAAGTGGCTGATTTTTTGTTTGTGTTCGACTATAATAACCGGATTCCTTCTCGACGGGGTCAGCTCTGGCCAGACGGAGTGATATTATAGCACGGCGAGTAAACACGGAATGGTTATTTTAGCTGGAATGACTGGAATGACCTGTGTTAGGACCGCAGTTCCCTCTGTTTTATTAAGTGTTCCTAAAATATAGGATGGCAGAGTGCAGAGTCACTGCGACAACATGTGTGTTATTGCTCCTTTACCATTGGTCTACGCGACTGCGAACTTCTCGTGAACTGTTTTGAGGTTGTGTAACTCTGTGGTCTTTCAACCTGAGATGTCATTTGTGTGCTCAAAGACAAAGATGAAAAGCGTGACAGTTACAGTATGAGGGGTGTTTTTGCATTTAGGCGACATTTTCCTACTAAATAAACCCGATTTGTTAATGAAGTTTCAGACAGTCACCTGTCTGAAGATGTACAGTGTATTGTATCTTATGTTGCATACCATTGCGGCCAAAATTAATCATGATGTCAGCCTCTCCGTCCATGATGCGGGTGAAAGAGAGCGGCGTGACATCACTCCACACTTTGAAGGCTCTGAAGAAAGCATCGTTTATGACTTCCTCATCCAGATCAGGAGTCCAACCCAGGATTCTACAAAGTGACGAGACAAACAAAGCAAAACCCAGACAAACTCAGTGAAAATAACAACACGTGTGCAATCAGGACAGCCAGGTTGGCTCTTTGAATGTCGCATTTTGCAAGCCTTGTACACCTATCACCGGATCTCTTTTCTCTCCAGAAGATCAGGGAAAAGAAGCCGGCCAATAACGCTGTTTGAGTCATCTGCGAAAGTGCTTCCTGAAATAATTCTCAACCACAATCCCACTTGTACGCCCGTCTACGCGGCCCCCCTTTTCCTGCAAACACTCTTAAGATCTCGTAGTTGTTATTGTCTTTGGCTCTCCTTTACAAACACGCAGGCTGACGGGCTGGAATGATCAGGGTGCGCAAAAAAAACAACAACAACACAAAAAAAAAACGCTGATATAAATAAACTAAATCCACATTGTTGTAAACCTCAAACAGAATGAAAACAAAGGACCTGACACATACTGTGTAGGAATGCTGGTGTTAGCAAGACATGAGATGCAAGCACTTGTGTGGATGGGGGTGGGGGAGGCGGACCAGGAGAGGGTTGGGTGGGTTTAGAGGGGGTCAGGCGGGGCCAAGTATTATTTCTCAATATCTCCAAGGCTTTGATTTATGGGCGGCTGTTGGGAGGGATCGGGCTTGGCAAACATGAAGAACAGAAGACGTCCTGATGTGACGCATGCTGTGCTTCTAAAACACCACTGTACCCAACTGCATGGAGCTTTACGGGCCACGTACGCCGTTTAAAAACCTTCCATGAGATCACCATCTGAGCTGCTGACCTGTAGGTGATGTCGTTCTTCTGCCACATGGGCTTCCTGTGGAAGAAGTTGTAATTGGCCACATCTGGGACGCCACAGCGGGGCTTTTTCATGGTCTCCACAGTTTTGGCATCAATCTCTCCAGTTTCTTGCAGGGCGAAGAACTTCTGCATTTTCTTCAGGGTGTCCTTGAGCACCATGAGGTTACATCTGTCTTGTGGGCATCCGTAAAACTTATTCAAATAGTGCTAAAAAAGGAGAAACACAGACATGAAATAAAAATGGTTTGATAAATAATGTGGAAACTCTTCTGTAACAGTACAGTCAAGAGTACAAACTGGATCCACAGCTGGTTGACCCACTTTCAAAGAGGGGGAGAAAAAAAACAATAAACTTACCAGAGCAACTTCTTTGTCTGTTTTGGGGCTTGTGTCGTCTCCAGGAAACCTAATAATAGGAGAAGGACGCGCATTTGTTGCTTGAAAAGCGATGAAGTGAAGCAAAAACACTTTGAGAACAATCCGACGACAACTGAATATCGTCGGAAAGCCCATTTTAGTTGTCGGGTTAACGGGGTCTGCTTTGCGCTGAATGCCGTCCGCTCTGCGCTGCAGTCCTCTCAGCTTGTGTTGCTCTGCTCCTCTGGAAGACTTTTTTTTTTTTTTCCCCCTTCCTTAACGGGACATCCTGCACCTCGGCTCTATGAACTTTCTCAGTTCTGCTTGCACATGCACTTTTTTTTTCTTTTTTTCTTCCCCTCCTTCTTCCCCCCTTGACGCTTTGTGCGCAGTCTCCAGGTTGGGAAAGAGGAGGAGGAGGAGGAAAGTCCGCAAATCAAACACAGGATGATGCGCTCATGGTTAAGATTTCTCACTCAATCTTGTTTTTACAGACTGGAAATCTCGAATGAGGCCAGGGAAAGTTTTTTTTTTCAACAGAGTAAATACGGTATTGAAGTGACTCAGAGACGATATGTGGGCCAACGGATGAACCACTTATAATAAATGTGTAACTGATCAACTGGTAATAATAAAAAAAGATCACAATAACCTGGTCTGTTTGTGTTTCTGCATGCAGTTTAGATTCTGGACATATCTTCAGTGGAGGCAGATTATAACATGCGTACTGAGAGATGAGAGCACATCTTTATCCTGCACACTCCGATTAAAATGAGAGCTCACAAACTTCTTAGTTTTTGTCATATGCACACCACATTTTGCACAGAACTTCATAGTTGCATAGAAGCAAATAGTGCCTGTATCCTGCACAACATCTGTTTATGCTGCACCCTTTTTTTTTGCACTTTTTCCTACCATCTGGGAAACCTTTTACACCTTGCAGGTACTGTTTTGTCCTAAAGTCACAGATGAAAAGCAGATCAGCATCCCCCAGCTTTTACTAACCATGGATTTTCTACATAGCAAAAGGGGTAAATAAAACATTCTAACTTTCATTTCACTCATGCAAAGCTGTTAATTCTTTAATATGGCATCACGATGTATAGTGTAAAAGAAACACAGCGACACCCAGCTGCAGAAAGGCCAAAAGTTATTTCAAGTGGTATATTGACATCTGGTGGTGGGATGTGCAAACTGGCCTCAGTATCAGGTCAACAACAGACCCAGTGAAAAACATGTAGTCCACTAATAAGAGGACAAATTCGATAGCACTGACACACCCTGGTCTTATTGTAGTTTCTGCACCATAATGCAGATCTGATTTTGAAATACATATTTTAGAAAATTTCTAGTGATGTTCAAATAATTTACAACCCAACAGTGACAAGTTTGCAATTTCTACCATTCATCTTCTGCATATGACCTTGAAAATTCAAACTAAAAACTCTAGATGAAATAGAAAAAAATATTCCATCTGCCACGTTTGCAGATAAATAATTTACAGATTGTCAAAATTACTCTTTTGCATTGAAGATTCCGCTTTTAGGATAATATTCAGAATGCACTTTGTAATCTAATTGTGCGATGTAATGAAGAGGCTGAAGACAGTAATGTGCAGGAGGTGTATTAACTTTTAGATATTTATATATTCTAATAGTGTTGATCAGGATTTCTGCCCTCTGGTGGCCGACAGACACCTAGCACCCCTGTCTGTTGTGTGGCACTTGGAGCCAGTTTTCTTTACTGACTTGTAATCTACTGCATAGATTTAGGATTTACTCTAACTCTCTTTGACATCCCTTTGTTTCCGCTCTCATACCGGATTACCCCGAACAGCGTATGAGAGCGGACTCTTTAATAGAGAGAGCTGAAGGACTTTTTTTGCAAAGAGATCTGACAGATGGATAGCTCACAAACAGGATTTTGCGGTATATCTAGCAAAGCAATTTCCCTTCCCTTTAGCCAGAGTACAGTTAATTTTTCATAGCTGGGGCTGCTGTTGGTGGTTGCAGAGTGAATTTAACATCCATTTGCCAACAATATCCAGGGCCTGTCACTTTGGAGCAGGAGCTTTATTTCATGCACTGATACATGCTGCCATCTCCTTTAACTGACACACTCACAGTGATCTCTCGCAGAGCTGGGGAACAGAATGCCTACCTATTAAATGTACATGGGCCTGCCTCTCCAAATAGAAAATGCTGAGATGTGAGAAGTTGAGCCACGGCTACAGTAATTGAATGCCTTTGTGCATATGAATGCAATTTCACAGGCGAAAGTGGCATAAAGAGATTGAGATGATAAAGTTTGATTTGCATGTAAATTGTTTTCTTTTTTGCCTCTGTTGAATGCTTAAGCTTTCTCTAGATTTAAGCACCTCACCGAGTGTGTGTGTGTGTGTTTGTGTTTTGATGAAATGCTGTTGCCTTTTTCTTTTCTTTTTTTCTTTTTTTTTTTTTAAAGTGAATGTCTTGTTGCTGCTGATTGCAAGTGCATCTCTTCCATTTGTATTTGTTTGTGGCTGAGATGGCTGATTTAAATACAATCATGGTGTTATGGAATGCTTTACAGCTGATTTGTACTCCTGTGTTTACACCACAGCATACAAATCACACGTGTTGTCCTCATTACGAGCAATTTCTGTTTAATTTGAATGATTTTCAGTAGTTTTCTATCCGTGTTGCACAACCAACTTAACGCAGTGCCGCAATATGCTTGCACTGGTCCTGCACTGTGCAAACTCATGTAATTAATTATACGGACTAGCAGCTTTCTTAAGCATGCCAGTGTGGCCTCCTCTTGCGACTGGGAATGGGACATTCTGGACATGAAGGCCAGCCGTATCATGGCTCTCCAGCTGGCTCCGGATCCTCAGGCCCACTGATTGACCCCCGTCCAGCTGAACAGACCGCAGACCTGGATGTCACCCTCTCTCCTCGTCCTGGTCCTCTGGCTCTTGCAAGGACCTCTGCAGATTCTCTGATGGGTCATCAAACCAGACTGCCTGTATGGCTGGCTAGCGCCGAGGTCATGAATGACAAATATCACAGTCCCGCTGCTTTCCTCTCACTCCAACTCGCTCAAAGCGTCGGAGAGGAGCGTACGCAGTGTTCAGCGCTGTTTGGTTCGGGCTCGGACGCGTAGTTAGCCCGGGTGTGTAGTTAATACTGACACTGAGTGGTTTAGAATCAGTCTATTGGCATTGTTTGTTTTATGTGCTTTGCAGGAGTAATTAAGCAATGGTTGCTGAGTAAATGAATGCAGCAACAGCCCTGTCAATAAATCTGTTTCAAGATAACTTAATTTGGCTAAGCACTGTGTTACAGAATACTGTGACACATATTATATCACTCGGTTTGAAACATTCTGATGATGAATTATTGAACATAAATCCATTATCTTGAACATATTTTATTTATGAATGCACCAAGACACTGGAGGACTTTAACACTGCAGGGTAATTATTGTTCCACATTGTGTCACCACTCTTCTCTCAGATGCAACTGCCACAGCAAACTGCAATGAATCAAAGAATGGCGGCTTTTGATTGACATTTCGTGTGTGCACAAGGCCCAAAGCGACATTAGCCGAATTGCTTTACTTAATGCTTTCTCCCTCATTCTGTTTCTCTTTTAGCACGCCTTGTAAACACTGATGCAATAATGCATTCCATTATACAGGGGAGAGGAGACGAGTGTCTCGCGTGGCTCCTCTCCATCTCAATAATAGGTCAACAGCTGTATTTAAAAAATTAATCACATTCTTGGCAGTTGCAAAGGTTAGCCGCAACGCTCCGAGATGCAATATTGGAAGCTCAGATCAGCGGCAAGCCTCGGCGGAGATGAGGAAGAGTTGCCTTTGATGAGTACAGCATGTAAATGATTTGTGTGTGTTTATGGGACACGGGGCTGGCCCTGCCTCACTCCAAGACGGCGGCATCGGCACCACTCTGTGGCAGAGGCTGGCAACAGCAGATGGAAATAAGTAAGCGAGGGGAGGGTTGACCCCGCTACATGGCTTCACAGTTAGCGGTCTCTTTCAGCAGAATCTTTCTTCCTCTATCCCCCAAAATATCTCTGCAGCACTTAGATCCATTTTAAAGTCTGTGTTGAGTCTTTAGTCTTAACTCTCTGTCCTGCATTTCATTGTTTCCTGTTTAGTTGTTTTTGTGTTTTGCAAGTGTACATATGACATTATCTACGGCATATAGTGCTACATTTCAGTGTCATATACGGCCCGTGTGATGCCGTATCATCCAAGATTTCTCCTTCAGAAAACGCACGTGACTTCTAAGTAGTTCTAAGCTGAGCTACAAGTTTTAGTCATCACAACTTAGGGCCTACTAAACAGCTTGTTTGTTAATCAAATATTAATACCTTTCTTACATCAAAGACAAATTACTCTCAAAGATATCTTGAGTTAGGGGGACACGCGTATGAAATATGAATGTCTACCTTGGATTGCTTTTAGTAATTCTGAAATATTCACAGTGGTATTTTGGAGTGCCGTGGCTCTTTGCTTGTTGTGTGCAAGTTGACACTCGGGAATGAATTTTTCAGCACTGATCTGATTTGGCCGTCACCGTAAATGGATAGCCTTGATAAGTCAGGAACACTGCTACCTGGATTGTTGGATGAAATTGAAATACTGCATGATGCAAGTGAGTGAAAGGAGCGTTGAACTGCCGCCGTCTTGTCTGGCGCTCCCGACAGTTCGGTAGAGCTGCGCCGCACATTAGCTATTATGTTGTTTGCAAATGTCAGCTTTGGAGGCTTCTGGCTCTGATGCTGCTAGCTTTTAGTATATTAATTGGTAAACTCTGGGACAATTATTACCCCAATATTTCATCCTTCACTGGAACAATTCCTGTGTAAATATTTTTGGCTCATAATCTGAAGGGTCCCACAGCAGCCATAGTTCATACATTAACACCATTTTTTTTTTTTTCCTTCTAATGGTGTTTTTTTTTTTCCCTCAGAGTGTAATTAGAAATGAAAAAACAATCAGAAGGTAAGTAATTGTCCATTAAAAGAGAATGAAAATAGTGTTTCCAAAACAACAAAGACCCTTTGGGAAATCAGACTCATCATTTCCATTCACTCATTAAAGGAAGACGGCGACCAGGCCTGGAAACATCTTTCCTTTAACACAGCCCATCCTCCTTTTAACGTATTGTATTGTCATGCAGTTTGCAGTTTCAAACTCAGGTATTTAACTTTAATACATTCTGTATTTGGGGAGGCTGACAGGTCCTTATTCAGAGAAAGTGTAATACACCGAGGTAAGCAGCTCTGATCAGATTAGAGCGCACACACAAACAGACTGAATTAGATTTGATGTGAATCTTGCAGCA